GAATACGACAAGCGCATCGTTCCACGTCAGAGCCAAGACTGTCCTAACGGCGGCCGCTCCATCCGTTTTATACAAGCGGGCGCCACCGCAAGTGCAACGGCGCAGGTGTACTGTTCGCGTGTTGTTTACAATAATTCTGTCTAGCTACACCGCGACGTTGCCGCACATGCAATTATGCACCTGAGATTCTGCCCAACGGGCGCAATAACGACATGAGACTCGTATAATTACAGACTGACTGACCCCTCTTAGTCCACTGCGCGATACTTTACACTGCTAAAACAAGCGGGAGATTATTGTTCCACTTTCGATATTTCTTATTTTCTTTTATTATTTTACCCTCATTCCTAAAACGGCCTTTCCTGACAATTCACACGTCCCCGTTTGAAACCTAGAGTAACGTTACCGGCGTTAATGTAAGTTTACCGTCTCGGCCTTTTCTGACCATGAAATACAGACTAAATTTTGCAGAATTGAAAACATCGTCCAAAACAGATTTTAGTATACAACGCTTCCCACTAGAGCTCACTCGCACTAGCGAGCTGTCTCGGCGCACTCGCACTAGCGAGCTGTCTCGGCGCACTCGCACTAGCGAGCTGTCTCGGCGCACGCGCACTAGCGAGCTGTCTCGGCGCACTCTCACTAGCGAGCTGTCTCGGCGCACTCGCACTAGCGAGCTGTCTCGGCGCACTCGCACTAGCGAGCTGTCTCGGCGCACTCGCACTAGCGAGCTGTCTCGGCGCACTCGCACTAGCGAGCTGTCTCGGCGCACTCGCACTAGCGAGCTGTCTCGGCGCACGCGCACTAGCGAGCTGTCTCGGCGCACTCTCACTAGCGAGCTGTCTCGGCGCACTCGCACTAGCGAGCTGTCTCGGCGCACTCGCACTAGCGAGCTGTCTCGGCGCACTCGCACTAGCGAGCTGTCTCGGCGCACTCGCACTAGCGAGCTGTCTCGGCGCACTCGCACTAGCGAGCTGTCTCGGCGCACGCGCACTAGCGAGCTGTCTCGGCGCACTCTCACTAGCGAGCTGTCTCGACGCACTATACACTTTAATGATTCGTCCATGTCGTAAATATGACAACAAACTTGATTTAAGAAACTGAACATAAAAACAAGACGCGAGGCGCGTCATATTCTTTCACCAACGTAATAACCCTTACAATATTCAAAGTTTATACGTGGACAGTAACAGGGACTTTATCCCACTTCTGATATTAGAAACTATCCCACTTCTGATATTACAAAGATTAGCTAAGTATAGTACAGAGACAAATTTTGTAGTTAGGAATAATAATTAATTCGTTTACACGAATTAATTATCCTACAAGTCAAGGTTAAACTAGTAACGGAATACGACAAGCGCATCGTTCCACGTCAGAGCCAAGACTGTCCTAACGGCGGTCGCTCCGTCCGTTTTATACAAGCGGGCGCCACCGCAAGTGCAACGGCGCAGGTGTACTGTTCGCGTGTTGTTTACAATAATTCTGTCTAGCTACACCGACGTTGCCGCACGTGCAATGGTGCACCTGAGATTCTGCCCAACGGGCACAATAATGACATGAGACTCGTAGAATTACAGACTGACTGACCCCTCTTAGTCGACTGCGCGATACTTTACACTGCTAAAACACGTGGGAGATTATTGTTCCACCTTCGATATTTTTTATTTTCTTTTATTATTTTACCCTCATTCCTAACAGTATTATTTGCAGATGACACTTTTTTAATTTTCAAATTCAGTCAACAATTACTAAAATATGACGAAGTAAATAATGCTATATCTAAATTAGTAAATTGGTTCAATGGTAATAATTTTCATTTAAATGACACTAAAACGAAATATATGAAATTCATGACTCCAAATCTCAAATAATTAAATACTAATGTAATTTTAAATGAGGAGAAACTGAGTCTTGTTATCACCAACCACCATTTTTCTTGGAATCACAATAGTCGCGAAGCTTCAATGGAGCCCCCATTTATCAAAACTAGCAAGCAGACTTAGTTCTGCAGCATATCCTGTAAAAAAGATTAGAAGTCTTACCAGTGTTGAAACAACTAGACTAGTTTACTTTGGCTATTTCCATAGCATAATGTCGTATGATATTTTACTATGGTGATACGCAGCTGACACTGAAATTATATTTTATTTACAGAAGAGGGCCATAAGAGCAATTTATGATTTAAAGATATCTCTAGAGCCATGCATTCCTCCAAAACCCAATATACGGTGTCAATGGGAGACTTCAATGCAAAACTAGGCACAAGAGAGAACGGTGAGCTGAAAGTGGGGAAATTTGGAATAGGGCAACGGAACCCAAGGGGCCAGCAGCTGGCCGACTTCATGGAGAAAGAGGGACTCTTTATGATGAACTCTTTCTTCCAGAAGCGGCCCCACAGGAAGTGGACCTGGTCGAGCCCCGACGGTTCGACAAAAAATGAGATTGACTTCATTATGACGACCAGACGACAACTGTTCAGTGATGTCTCCGTGATCGCGAGGGTGAAAACCGGCAGCGATCACCGAATGGTTAGAGGCACACTGAACCTAAACGTTAAGTTGGAGAGGTCTCGTCTAATGAAGTCAACGCTCCGTCCTCCTCGTGCTCTAATCCAAAGTCCCGAAACCTTTCAGCTCGAGTTACAAAACCGTTTTCAGTGCCTAGAAGACTGCAATGAAGTGGACGATTTGAATGACAAGCTCGTGGAAACTGTCCATGCGGTCGGAGCTAAGTTCTGCAAGACCCGCCGCAGAAGAACACAAAAACTCTCCGATCACACTCTTAATCTCATGGCTGTTAGACGGGAGATGAAGCTACATTCTTCAACAGATTTGACAGCATACAGGCAACTGAACAGACAGATCTCCAAATGTATGCGGTGGGACTTACGGAACTTTAATTCTGCTCGTATTGAAGAAGCGATCGAGTGGAACCAAGGCTCCAAAGTCTTTTCCAGAGATCTGTCTGCCAGAAAGAGCCAACTGTCAAAGCTGAAGACCGAATGTGGCAGCATCGTTTCCGGGGCACCTGAGATTTTGAGTGAGATTGAGAGGTTCTATGGGCAGCTGTACACGTCATCGTTGGAGCCGCACGCAAGTGTGAGTAACGATCCAAGAGCGAGTCTTATCCGACATTATTCCGATGATATCCCGGACGTCAGTCTGAGCGAAATTAGAATGGCTCTCCAGCACCTTAAAAACGGCAAGGCCCCAGGCGAGGATGGAATTACAGCGGAGCTTCTGAAAGCGGGTGGAAAACCGGTACTTGAAGTCCTTCAGAAGCTCTTTAATTCCGTTCTCCATGGTGGCATTACACCGGAGGCGTGGAGCAGAAGTGCGGTGGTCTTGTTCTTCAAGAAAGGCGACAACGCTCTCTTGAAGAACTACAGACCGATTTCCCTTCTGAGCCGCGTCTACGTGCTGTTTTCGAGAGTTATTACGAATCGTCTCGCGCGCAGACTTGACGACTTCCAGCCTCCCGAACAAGCCGGTTTCCGAAAAGGCTTTAGCACCATAGACCACATACATACCCTTCGGCAAATTGTACAGAAGTCCGAGGAGTACAATTTGCCACTATGTCTGGCGTATGTGGACTATGAGAAAGCCTTTGATTCCGTCGAAATTTGGGCGGTGCTGAAGTCCCTTCAGCGATGCCAAGTTGACTGTCGGTATATCGAAGTGTTGAAGTGCTTGTACAGTAGGGCCACGATGGCTATCCGAGTACAGAACCAGAGTACGAAACCTATCCAATTGCAGAGAGGTTTAAGACAGGGTGACGTCATATCCCCGAAACTCTTTACCGCTGCATTGGAAGATGTTTTCAAGCTTCTGGACTGGAAAGGATACGGTATCAACATCAATGGCGAGTACATCACTCACCTTCGATTTGCCGACGATATAGTCCTTATGGCAGAATCGCTGGAGGACCTAAGCACTATGCTCAATGACCTCAATAGTGTTTCCCAACGGATAGGTCTTAAGATGAACATGGACAAAACAAAGATCATGTTTAATGTCCATGTCACACATATGCCGGTAGTTGTTGGGAACACTAAACTCGAAGTTGTTGACGAGTATATTTACCTGGGACAAATAATCCGACTAGGTAAGTCCAACTTCGACCGAGAGGTCAATCGACGGATTCAACTCGGTTGGGCAGCGTTCGGGAAATTACGGCACATCTTCTCGTCAGGTATACCTCAAAATTTGAAAACGAGACTGTACACCCAGTGCGTGTTGCCAGAGATGACATACGGAACTGAGACGTGGTCCTTCACTGCTGGCCGGATGAGGAAGCTCAAGGTCGCTCAGCGAGCTATGGAGAGGGCTATGTTCGGAATTTCTCTACGTGATAAACTCAGAAATGAGGATATCCGCAGTAGAACCAGAGTGACCGACATAGCCCAACGGATTAGTAAGCTGAAGTGGCAATGGGCTGGCCATATAGCTCGAAGAACCGACAACCGATGGGGAAGAAAGGTTCTCGAGTGGCAGCCTCGTACCGGCAGACGAAGTGTAGGGCGTCCCCCCACTAGATGGAGTGACGACCTGGTAAAATATGCAGGAAGTTGATGGATGCAGGTGGCTCAGGACCGTGCTTTGTGGCATTCTTTGGGGGAGGCCTATGTTTAGCAGTGGACTTGTGAAGGGCTGTAATGATGATGGTGTTGATGAAAAGTCTATTATAAATAATAACAAAAAAAACTTCGCCTCACTTTTATCCGTACAAAAAACCTAGCATACTATCATGTTACCTATTTTGCATACCTAGTCTATTATTGAAATATATTCATAGTTCATAGCAATTTCAATATTCTAAGTCTATGTCAATTTGTCAATTTAGATGTCATTAGATGTCTTAAATTTACTTTCGTCAAACCAACACGTCAAATTTAGGTTCATGTTTTAAAATGAAATTTAAATCAATTTTCACTGATTCCGTTACAATATTTTTAAAATTACTACAGTGATCAACTGTTAATTTTTTTTTTTTGCTAAATGTGTGTTACAGTGGAAATTACCTTGCCAACTATACAAACATTTTTGTTGTTGTTCTCGTTGCGAGTTGGCTGTTTAATAATTCTATTCTGGACTTCGGTTAGTATATAGTTTACGTTTTGTTTATATTTTAGAAGGATTGAATCCAAGACTGGTCTCCGTTGCTGATTATTTTAGTTCGAGATAGCCAGCGTCAAGAAAATGCACACCTTACTTTACACTTATAAAAAAGGCGAAGAGTTTGACTCTATAAATATATATATATCGCTCAACAAGGTATGGATAGGGTGTTCAGATTTTCTTTGATTTTAGTTGATAGAATGATTTTAGACGATGATGTCCGCAGTATAACCAGAGTAATCGATATAGTCCAACGGAACTTTAGGCTAAAGTGCAAAGAAGCCGGTTATAAAAAAAGTTTCGTTAGTACTAACCTATTATCGGTGAGTGGACTGTAGGACGGCCTCTCACTAGATGATGCTGTTGGATACAGGTAGCTCAGAAGCGTATTTTGTGCCATTGCTTGGGCATCACAGTATTAGTGACATAAATATGGATTCACCCTTTTTACGATAATGGTCAATTTGCAGTTCCGGTCATGTTTCTGCGTTTTGTTCTTCACATCTGCGATCCTGGAGGTACTGATCCATCGCAAATCTCCACTGGGATGGTGGCTGGTGTCACCCAGTAAGAAGAATATCGTAGCAGGGAACATTTACATCCTTTACTACTTATACGTGGCTCTGCTAGTTGTTGAGGCGATCCTGCTTTTGTTCACCGTCGTGCATTTTGCTTGGGGATTGTATCAGGTGAGAATGTAATGATCTATTGTTAATTTTTATTGTTAAATGTTTTACATTTAATAATAAAAATCTCCTCCAAGCCGATTTCGGTAACGACGGCCAGTTTCAACAATGACTAGCTATCTGCACAGGACAGGTGGATGAGTAAGTGCGCAAGCAACGTTGCACTTTCTGTTTGCTCACTCACAAAGTCCGATGGGTCAGCATTCCGACACGACCTTATACAATTTTATACGTGGTAGAGCCATGCTGCAGCTATATTAGTAGTATAGTTGTAGCACGAATGGGTCGGCTCGACCGGGGAAGGACCACGCTCTCACAGAATACCAGCGTTAAATAGCAGCTTAACGCTGCTGTGTTTCGTATGGTGAGTGTAGAGAACCGGAGACCCTTTTTACTGGAAAAGAGGCATTCCATCTTAGTCCTCACAGGTGACAATGCATCTGCATTTTGATTTGCAAACAAGGACAGATGTAGATGTCTATGAGCCACAGCAACCACTTACCATCAGGTGGACTGTGTGCTCGTTTGTCACCCTATCCTATAAAAAAAACGACCGGGGAGTGATCATGCGCAGAACTGACGACTTTACGTGATTTCCGAAGCACGAGGGTGAAACATCGCCAACCTTCCTAACCTTTGACTGCTACTAGGGATCCTGTCTAGAATGAAAACTCAATGATTTTTGGCCCGACCTGAGATTTGAACCCAGTACTACATGATCAACAGTCGCATTGTGACCACTAGACCAGTGAGGTAGTCACAATTTACATTTAATGTTATCAGGCGACGTATACGTACTTTAAATGATTGTTTCCAATATGGTGATAACTTACGAATAACGGAAGCTATCAACTGCGCCGGAGACATTATTTTGCCAAAAGTATAAAGCAAACACAGAAGCATTTACTAGATCTAGCCTATTCTATATCGTATAACGCATATTTTATAGAATAAAATTCCGTAGCCAACCGCAGGCATGAGCAGCAGGCGACGTGTCGTCACGGCACTACTGGTTTCTATGTAGTTCTATGAAATACCTTCCGTAGCTAGCGACACGTTGTTTTCCTCTACGGGCCGAGCGGCAGACGACACTGTAGACCGACCGCAGATCAGTAGTGCGCCGCAACGCCCGAACCACAACAGGTTGAATTTTTCTCAAAAAATGAGTTTCACCAATTCCGAGGAAGAGAAACTAATAAACCAGGTGAAACCGATAAAACAACCCAATATCCCGCACTGTACGATGCATCTCACAATAATATACCAGCCATGACGCCACGACATGTCGCAGCGACATGTCGCGGCGACACGTCACCTGCTGCTGCTGCCTGCAGTCGGCTACGGAATTGTACCTTAATAAATTCTCAGTTCACCTGGTGGTGTCTCATAGATACCTACATTTTTTCTCGATTAAGAATCAAAATGTTTATGCATTTTTACTCCTGAACTACTGAAAAAGGAACTACAGCAGCATTAAACTGCAATATAACGCTGGTATTCTGTGAGATCATGGTCCTTCCAGGCAAGCTGACGCAGTCGTGCCGCAACCATAATATAGCTGCAGCGTGACTCTACCACCTTCGTGCGATCTTAACGCATTTAGCGTTAAGATCGCACGAAGGTTTGAACGCAGTGTACTTACACTGCGTCGTATTGTACTCGTAGCCATATAAATGCAAACTTCGAAAGTAATCAGCTATGATAGGCTTAATAGCGGCAGTGTTAGCACGCAATTAATCAACCTTAATTATTAGTTAAAAACACCATTTTATTTAATTTTTCACTATTTTAGATTTAACTAAGATTTTTAATACGTCATTTTGTTTATTTTTTATAGAATAAGGGTGACAAACGAGCACACAGTTCACCTGATAATAAGTGAATGCTGTGACCCATAGATATCTACATATATCCTCGATTCACAGTCAAAATGCAGATGCGTTGTCACTCTTGACGACTAAGATAGAGTGCCTCGTTTCCAGTTCTCTAGACTCACCATATGAACACAGCAGCATTAACCTGGTATTTTACGCTGGTATTCTGTGAGCGTCGTCCCATCCCAGTTGAGCCGACACATTCGTGCTGCAACCTTAATATAGCTGCAGCGTGGCTCTACCACGTAAGAAGTCTGTCGAAGACTTAGGACGATAAATGCTTAATGACAGACCAATAGTAATCATGATAACCCGCGTTTTGACATAATTAAGATACTAGGAATGTCTAGATAATTTTTAATTATCATTATAATCAAGTAACGATAGTGGTCTCATGTTATTATGTTTTTAGTTATTCTATTGTGAATAATCTTATTTTTTATATTCTTTCATCAATGTTATTATCACTAGGTAGTACACTAGGTAATAGTCGATAGTACAATCATCAGGTAGTAGGATTCCTGTTTTGCCTTAGGTTCGTCTGGATCATTGGGTTATATGTATTATGTACTAGAGAAGCTATTCCAAACAAAAATTGTGCCCTACTCTATGTCTTCGCGTATGCGCGGGAGAAGAGTTGAATATAAAATACTCTTATTTTAATCAAAACAAACATATTTCTAAATAAAATGTGATAATAATTATCTTATGGAATTCACAAATCTTCAATTTACGCAATATTTAGTGTACGGATTGCAGTACAGTTCAGTTGAACATAGTAAATGTTTGGAATGCGGAATCTAGTGCGTAGTACGTATATATCGATGGTCTTATTTTATTATTTTTATTTTTATGTTATGGAAAACCAACAGCTTACAAATCTTAAGTAAATAACATGTTAAATTTACAAAAAAAAACCAATAACAGGTTCTCACTAATAGATAGGTCTTAATAGATATCACCCCCTTACCTATTACTGTTACAAAATAGCAGTGATTGCACTGTGTTTCAGTGTGAAGGGTATAGATAGCCAGTATAATTACAGGCCGTGAGGCATTTCATCTTTTTCTCAGAGGTGACAACGTATCTGTAGCCTTCTTTGTTTAAAGTAGTCTGAATATTGTTGCGCGCAACCATTAATGCCTGGTACATGGCGATACTAGTTACCACTAGCGCTTTCTAGTATCGAGTAGCAGAACTAGAACAGTCAAGATCCTTCTAGAAATTTCCATCGAAAAACTTTCTAGAACTATCGACACCTAGTCAATCGGAACCGATATGTACTCGAACATTCTAGATGTTTCTACAGTAGGTATCTGAGGGCCTATATAAGGCCGGTATAGACCGCGACCGGAGTGAGTGTTGAATTGGCGGTACAAGCGAATACTTCGAAGCGATACAACTGCGAACTAAAGTGATCACTAGTACAATTGTGTTTTGTTATTAGTTTTTGTTTTAAGTTGTAATTAGTGTTCTGTGATTAAAGTGTCAATTTTGGTAATTCACTCGATAGTTTTTTATTGTCTCGAACCCCAAGCTCGTAACAATATGTTACGCCTGACATAAGCAAGATGGTTATGCCGCAGTCGATCAAAAGTCATGAGATCTTTTAGGCATGTTCCGTAATAACCCCTAACACCGGCCATGGGACGAAATTAAGTGATGGATTATCTTACGCCGTCAACACAGCAACAACGTCCTTTATTGTTACAGCATATTAAAATTCCACTGCTGAAGATAGGCCTCCCCAGAGATTGTTACATAAGAGGGATATTTTGCTTAGTTGCTATGCACGCTGAGTAGGCGGGTTGACAACCGCAGTTTTTCATTTTATAGTTGTTATAAGGGAGACGCTGCTGCCCATCCGTTGGTTTTTTCCCTCAGACGCCTTTTACGACACCTATAGGACGATATAGGATAGATATCAAATGATAACAAATGAGCACACAGTTCACCTGATGGTAAGTGGTTGCTGCGGTCCACATCTCATCACATCTACATCTATCTTCTGTTACAAATCAAAGATGCGTTATCACCTGTGAGGACTAAGATGGAATGTCTCTTTTCCAGTAAAAAGGGTGTCCGGTTCTCTATTCTCACCATACGAAATACAGCAGTGTTAAGCTGCTATTTGACGCTGGTATTCTGTGAGAGCGTGGTCCTTCCTCGGTCGAACCGACCCATTCGTGCTACGACTATACTACTAATATACCTGCAGCATGGCTCTACCACGTGTCATGCTGCAGCTATATCTAGCTATATTTAGTCGACTATAGTGGCTACATGGGTATGGCAACAACATAATATACAACAATTTATATTTATTAATTTTTCAAGATCTCTATTAGATTCATAACTAAAAATAAATTTTTAAAACAATTTTAATTTCAACACGCTGATTCTAAATTTGGCAGGAAAAATCTAGGCCATTGAGGCAATACCTTATTTGCCGATTCTTGACCTGGATCGTGGAAGTTGCGGTCCTCCTTTTTCTCTGTATTAATCACAAGCTGCTGATCGGATGGTATTTGGTGTTATTGTTATTTGTTAGTAAGTATAATTTTAACGTGCTTGTACTTTAGTTTTAAATGGTTTTATTTTCAACCAACTTCAAATAAAGAAGGAGGTTCTCAAATCGACTGTATTTTTCATGTGTTCCTCAGTACTGTTTTCTACATGAACCGATTTTGATGATTCTTTTATATTTGAAAGCTGGTACTTCTCATATGGTCCCATATAAATTTGATCAAGATCTAAATAGTAGTTTTTGATTTATTTTTAATAATGCATATTTAATTGACTTCGACTACATTGATGTTGTTCTCATCCGACACCGACAGTCGACATATTTGTATTACAACCATAATATAACTGCAGCCCAAATCTAGTACCATATAAAAAACTTAGACTTTCTTTTTGATTTTTTATCTACAGTCTTGGAGTTCTACTCGCTGATAACTGTTTACAGTTATTATGTTAACGTCTCATGCGAAGATAACGATCCGCAGAATTATCCGGAGAAATTGCAAAAGATGTATAACTTTACCCCAAACTTGTAAGTATTTGCCCCGCTGAAATTTTTATATTTTCTACTTTTTTGAGCGATACGTTTTTTTTATAGGATAAGGGTGACAATCGAGCACACAGTCCACCTGACGGTAAGTGGCTACTGTGGCCCATAGACATCTATATCTATCCTCGTTTACGAATCAAAATGCAGATGCGTTGGCAACCATGAGGACTAAGATAGAATGTCTCTTTTACAGTAAAAAGGGTATCCGGTTCTCTATACTCACCATACGAAACACAGCAGCATTTAGATGCTATTTTACGCTGATATCCTGGAAGAGCGTGGTCATTCCCCGGTCGAGCCGACCCATTCGTGCTACAACTATACAATTAATATAGCTGCAGCATGGCTCTAACACATTCCACGTTCTGATTGTTCTGTCTCCGCACTTCGCTTAGTTACGTGCATTCTCGACGTGTATTGAATGAAATTAAATAGAACAGAATAGAATAAGAAGAGAAGATAAAAGAAGAGAAAATAGAGCAGAATATAATGAAATGTAATGGAATCGAACGAAATTGAATGGAATAGAATAGAATAGATAGAATATTTTAACCAACTTCAAAAATGAGGAGGTTCTCAATTCGAGTGTATGTTTTTTTTGTATATATGTTACGCGATATCTTCGCAGATTGTATACCAATTTTGATGATTCTTTTTTTTTATGAAATAGTTTATACTTCAAGGCTGGTCCTATATAAATTTGGCGAAAAAATTCCACCCCTAATTGTAGCAAATATATAACCTCTTTTGTCGCAATTTTAAGTCGGTTTTTACTTTTTGTTAAATAAATTCCATATAGACTACAAGAATACTTTTACAAAGTCATTTATGCTTACCAATCACCTCATTCCGGGGATTATTATAATTCATTTATTTTTTAATAGTGTTATAACCCTTAATAAACAAATTTTGCTTTTTGATAGATAAGTCCTGAATATTTTCTGGCGACCGCTAAGACCCATCCAACTACAGGCCTATCGCCATCACCTCCTTGTTTTCCGAAATAATGGAGTCCATTATAAACTGCCAGCTCATGAGGTAACTTGAAGATCCCCAGCTGATTAGTGACCGCCAATACAGTTTTCGTCGGGGTCGATTAGCAGGTGATCTTCTGGTCTACCTAACGCATGGATGGGCGAAGGCAGTAGAGTCCAAGGACTTAGCGAAGGCCTTCGATCGGGTCTGGCACAAAGAGCTTCTTTCGAAGCTCCCTTCCTATGGGCTTCCCGAGAAATTGTGCCATTGGATCACCAGGTTCCTTGCTGATCGGAGCATCAAGATCGTAGTAGACGGTGGATGCTCCGACTACAAGTCTATTAACGCTGGTATTCCACAAGGCTGCGTGCTGTCACCAACGCTGTATCTTCTGCATATCAATGATTTGTTGCAAACTGGTAACAATAATAATAAAACTGTAAATAGCAGATGTCTGTACATTTTATATTTTTGTAATAAAAGTGATTGAGGGGTACTAAAAATAAGTAATTAAATACATTTCTACCATTTTTAGAATTTTCTGTCTGTCTGTCTGTCTGTCTGTCTGTCTGTTTGTTTGTTAACGTATCACGTATAAAGTACTAATTTATATCCTAAGAATTGTTAAGGAAATTATAAAGTGTATCTTCGGGTTACATTTAGTCTTTATTTCATTAAAATCAGTTCATTCCATCAAAAGTTATGATAAATATTCTGAAGTATGGGTAGGGAAGTATAGGTACGAATTTGCTCAACGGTGGCTTTGTTTGAGTCATCAGGTGCATTTTAAACTAATATCATATCATAAATCATAGTTAAATTATGTAAAATAATGATATAATTATGTATATCTAAAACGCAGTAAACAAAAGTATTAAAAAACGTATTAAATATATTATAGAAAAATATATTAACCTTATTAACTAAATCTGAAACACAATAGTTTTCCCATTTCTTCGATAGATGGTGGTGTTGTGAAAATGTAATGCAATTGCAATGTTTTTTTTTCCTGTAGATGAGTTTTCATATTTACTGCTAATCTTTATTATATTACTCGCTGCCCTACTGCGTGTTGATAAACTCAATTTATTCTTTACCGCCGAGTACTCTATGTGGTAAATCAAATTTTAAAAGAGCTATTAACAAATCGTTGGTTTTGGCGAGAGTCAAACTTTATTTTTTGCTTACTGTGCAGGCACTGATTTATAAGTACTCTTGCGTTTTATATAATGTATCAATCGCGTCAATTAATCTCTTTTATTTTTAGAATTGATGTTAGCAGCGCCATCTCTCTTTAAATATATACATATAATAAAAATGATGATAACATATTGTGTCTCTTTCTGTACATTGTATAGGTATATATTTTGGTGGCTAAAATCATTATGGGGAACTGAAAATAATTAAATAAGAACATTTTATAATTTTTAGAATTGTCTGTATGTCAATTTGTCTGTTATTATATGAACGCATCACGTCTAAAGTAAACATCTTTTATTTTCAAAGAAATCGTTAAGAAAATCATAAAGCGTATCTTCGAGTTACATTTAATCTTTGTTTTATTAAAATTGGTTAATTCTATTGAAAGTAATGATTATTATTTTGAAATGTAGGTTCGAATTTGTTCAATGGCGCCATAAAATCTCAGAAATAGTAATAAAAAGATTTGTGTGTAAAAAAAACGTTCCATAATAATTAATATATTTATACTTAAAACACAAAAAGAGATTTAAAAAGGATGTTTTCTCACACAAAGGACGTAATAGATGGAGTTGTACAAATTACAAACTTTTCTGAATTGCTGTGTTGAGATTTTTCGCCGATGAATCGTATTGAGACTTACTGAAGAAATTTGTATCCATCGAAGCCATACAACGGAATCCGACCAAAAATAAAATTTTGCAACGAAATGTCGTGATATTGTATTTATAATATACGCAAAATCAGTACTGCCACTTTAGCGCTTTGGGAACTAGATTTAGCGCTTTTTTGGAATGTATAGCGCGCATTTCGAAATTTTAGCCCTAGCTTAATCCAGCGCTTTTTGGTGTATTTAGCACACATTTCAATATTTTAGCGACTACCGGGTTATTAACTCTTTTATAGCAGCACTGTTAGTCCACATTACCGATAATAATAATAATAGACCTTTATTATTTTTTCCCACAAATAGTACATTGCAGTTTATCTTTTTCAAACATATTTTTTCCACAAAACAAAGAGCATGGGAGACGAGTCCAAACTAGGATACCCTCTGCTATGGATCTCCTGGCTTCCCCTTTAGGATGATCAACTTGATTTTTTTACCGACGACCCCTTTATTAAAGTTTTTGTTCATGGTTTTGGCAACACATTTATTTTGCTTTATTCAGTTTCAGTCAGTTGCTTAGAGCACAGCTAAGTTAAAAGTTACTTAGAAGTTATAACACAAAGAAACTGTGTAGCAACCGCAATCAGATGCTGACATCTGAAACTAAGTTGCGAAATACATTGCACTTTAAAACAATTAATGACATTTTTATTGTTCGTACAGTACTAACTACTGTTGACAGCAATTGCCATAATTATAAGTCGATGTCCTGCGAGGTATTGATACATCAAAAAAATATTGCCAGAAAAAAAACTTAATGTTGTTTTCTTTATTATGATTATATAAAAAAACACAAACTTTGTTTGTAGTTGATTTAGCGCGAAATCTAGGGCTTTTTTAAAGCGCTGTTTTCATGAAATCTAGCGCTTTTTGTGTTGTCCTAGAGTTGAATTAGTTTTTTTTATCTGGCAGCACTGCCCAAAAACCCTCTATTCAGAAGTAACTTTCCTTTCAGTTTTTAGCGCGTTCAGTTCCCAGTTACAGTGAGCGTGTGTTATGCGATGACCGTAAATAAAGCGCAAGGTCAAACTTTACGCGTTGCAGGAGTGGACCTCAGTACTGACTGTTTTGCACATGGCCAACTCTATGTTGCTTTTTCCCGCGTTAGTAGCCCCCGTAACCTTTTTGTGTACACCCCGGCTAAGCCTACTTCTAACGTCGTTTACACAGAAGCTCTATCATAAACGACTTAGAACTTTGATGATAATGATTTATTTAGTTACCACTTATTGATACAGTAATGAAATAAATCGTTTAATATTCTCTTGCCTAAACGACAAATTGTTTATGTAAAACCTGTATACGCGAGCTACGCCGCGGGCACAGCTAGTAATAATAATAATATTAAGGCGTAGGGAATTGACGACCCCATCGCCCGCTGACGTAACAGTTAAGTGACAAAACTGCTATGTCAGCGCAGTCAGTCAGTGCCTTGCCAAGAGGTGTGAGCGCCGTGCCTCGGCAGTATTGAGGGTGCAAAGGCCCGTTTGTGCTTACGGCCACACTATTAAACGGCGCCGGGTCTGGGCGTCTCCCGTTAATTGACGCCCAATTTAATGGATGATGGAAGATAATAGAACGCGCATAGGGCCGCTGCCTGGGGGTCGCCGGGGCGCGTCTGGAGCTGGCGCTGGACGTGACAGCATGCGAGCCGCCAGCCGAGCGCGAGGTGCTGCACGACCACCTAGCAGCCCCTCGCGTCCATCATCCCCACCAGATGGCTTGGTGTCGGCGGGGTCCTCTCGGACTCGGCAAGCGGCACCCGCCGCTGGTGGAGTACGCCGCATGCGTTGGACAAAAAATATGAACATAAACGCATTGCGGGCGTACTATAGGGCGAAAGGGGAAGAAACTGGAGGGATAGCGTATCGGGCTCGGATGCATCGCTTTTTTGCTGAGCTTGAGCCGTCAGTTTCCGTCACGGAGCAAAACCTGGCAGACCGAGTTCGGTACATCATACGCTCGAAAATATTTGATGATGCCGAACTCGAACGACTACGACGTGAGGCTATTCCCTCATCGAATGAACCGGCTATAGCTGGGGATGCGGCTCTTCAGGCCACAGACCAGCAGCCACATTTAGAGGGCGCCATGGATCTCCCTGCTCTGGTTGATTCAGGCGATGATGGAATGGTCACCCAAGAACTAGAGCAGATGAGGAGTAAATTGGAGGAGGCGATTGTGGAAACGCGCAGTACGCCTCTCGAAAATCGACCGCGACTCCCGCGCATACCCCTAAGCAAGCGGAATCGGGCTGTCGTGAGGGCTCTCAACCCAATGCTGGTGACCTATTTGGAAGCCAGCCGGGACCTTTGCGAGACGGACTCAATTCTTTTTGGCGCCGCACTGGCAGTTTGCCGTATTATTGGCGCCAAACTTCCCAAGGCTGGACGCGCTACTAGACAAAGTAGCGCCATCCCAGCCTGGAGAAGAAGGATTGAGGACCGTATCGCAAAGGCAAGGGCCCTCATCGGCAGGCTGATAAGCTTCAGGTCGGGCAATAATAGGCCGAGAATTGTGCGCACCGTCAGGATGGCGTTTGCTGGGACAAACATCAGTTTGTCCCAGCCGGATATAACGCAAAAACTGACGGAGCGCATAGACGACCTGAAGCAAAGAATCGCTGCTTGGGGGAAGCGGATTCGGCGATATACCGAGAGGTCGACACGGTTCAACCAGAATCGTCTCTTCCAGAGTGATCAGAAGAGGCTATATAAATCATTGGAGCGACCAATGGTACGTGGAACGGGCCAAGCACCGAATCAGGCCGACACTGTCGCATTCTGGCGCGGCCTGTGGTCAGAGCCCGTAAACCACAACGAGGGCCCTTGGACGGAAGTTGTGGTGAGTCAGTGTGCGAATCTTACGCCCATGGACCCCGTCATTATAACGCCGGACGATGTAGCTGAGGCGGTCCGAAGGGCCCCGAACTGGAAAAGTCCGGGGCTCGACGGGCTGCATCACTACTGGCTGAAGGGGTTCGTGGTGTGTCACGCTGTGCTCGCCCGACAATTTCAAGAGGCTCTCGACCAAAAGTCGCTCCCGAGCCTCTTCACTACTGGGATCACTCACTTGGTTCCTAAAGACCGGGATACCATAGACCCGAGCAAATACCGCCCCATCACGTGTCTACCCACGATATATAAGACACTAACATCCATTTTGAGCGCGAGAATCACTCGTCACCTGAACTCAAATCAGGTGATGTCGCGCGCTCAAATTGGATGTCGGGGCGGTGGTCGTGGAACCAAGGAACCACTCCTCATTGACGCGGTCATTGGCAAAGTGGTTAAACGCAACCGTCGGAACCTATCCGCCGCCTGGATAGACTACAAAAAGGCATTCGACTCGGTGCCTCATACATGGCTGAAGAGGGTCCTCGAGCTGTACAAGGTTGACTGTACAGTTAGAGACTTCCTCGGGCAGTGTATGGGGCAGTGGAGTACGATCCTTTGTCATCTAGGCGAGCGGATGACGGCTGCGGAGAACCACATAAGGATAAGAAGGGGTATCTTCCAGGGCGATTGTCTGAGTCCAATCTGGTTCTGCCTCTCTCTGAACCCTCTCAGTACCTTACTGGAGGGCTCCGGGAGAGGATTTCAGCTTCGGAGGGGAGGTACAAAAGTGACCCACCTTTTCTATATGGATGATCTCAAGTTATTCGTCTCCAGTCGCTCTCATCTTGTGGAATTGCTAAACATCACTTGTGATTTTAGCAATTCTATTAGAATGGAGCTGGGGACGGATAAGTGTGCGGTCCTCCATGTCGAAAGGGGTAGGGTTGCTAACTCTGAGGGCATAGATTTATCTATGCCCATCAGCATAAGGACCCTTTCCGAGGCTGAAACATACCGATACCTGGGTATGTCACAGAACATCGGTGTAGATGAGGCGGGTATGAAACAGTCAGTTTGCGATGTGTTTTATGCACGCTTAACCAAAGTGCTTAACAGCCTTTTGTCCGGTGTGAATAAGACGCACGCATATAACGGTTGGGTCATGCCTGTTCTCATGTATACCTTTGGCATACTTAGGTGGACTCAGACCGAACTAAACGCTCTGGACAGAAAAGTCCGCACTATAATGACGTCCCACAGGATGCATCATCCGAGATCGTCAGTAATGAGGCTGTACTTGCCGCGGAAGCATGGTGGGCGCGGCTTTTTAAGCGCGCTTACCATGCATAATCGCGAAGTGTGCAGCCTCCGTAATTACTTTCTGACGAGAGCGTATGATCCATACTATAGGGACGTTATTTCTTGTGATAAAGGACTGACTCCTCTATCCTTAGCCAACGAGCAATGGCAAGACCCAGCAGTACAGTGCATTTCCGACCGGGAGGCCGTATGGAAGGAGAAGGAGCTCCACGGGAGGTTCTACAAGGCTCTACATGAGCCTTTCGTAGACACAGTCGCCTCCCTTCACTGGCTACGTTTCGGTGACCTCTTTGGGGAAACCGAGGGTTTTGTCTGTGCAATACAGGATCAGGTTATTAAGACCAACAATTATCGGAGATACATCCTAAAGGATGGCGCCGTCGACATCTGTCGAGCTTGTCGCCATCCCGGTGAGTCACTTAGGCATGTCATCTCCGGTTGTTCGGCGCTTTCTAACTCTGAGTATTTGCACAGACACAATCTAGTAGCCAGGATTCTACACCAGGAGCTCGCTCTGAAATACGGCCTAGTGGATCGGAAACTGCCGTATTATAAGTACTTGCCGGAAGCCGTGCTCGAAAATGACCGCGCCAGGCTCTACTGGGACCGGGCCATCATCACAGACAGGACTATTCTTGCGAATAAGCCTGATATTGTGCTGATGGACCGGGCACAGTCAAGGATCTTTTTGGTCGACATTACCATTCCTTATGACGAGAACCTCGTGAAAGCCGAAACAGATAAGGTGACAAAATATCTGGACCTGGCTCACGAGGTTACCGGCATGTGGGGTGGTCTGCCGGCCGAAATTATTCCTGTGGTCGTTTCTGCGAACGGGTTAATCCCAGTCAGCCTCCCGGGTCATCTGAGGCGACTGGGACTCCGTGACGGACCGCTCCAGGCTCAAATGCAGAAGGCGGTGCTCCTCGATACCGCCCGCATCGTCCGCCGGTTTCTTTCCCTTTCCCCCTAACCCTCGGCCGTCTGGTCTCCCCTGCCGAGGGCTTCCATCTGGTTGGGTTTTTATATATTTATGTATTTTTTATGTATTTATTTTATTTTATTCATATTTATGTATGTTTACCATTTTCATTTACAATTATATATTTATACTGCCCAACCAGATGAGAAAACTTTATAGATACCCCAAAATAATAATAATAAAAGTATTTATTTGCCACAAAACTATACAATGTCTGTTAAAAAAACAAATTTAAATAGACAGCTTAATAATAAATTGTGATAAAACGGTCTGTGACTCAGTTGTAACGGGAAACCCATTACTCCTGCTATTCTGCCACAGCCTTTGCGCAGTATACATACAGGGTCTTAGGCAAGTGATGAAACACACGTATCAGCAATAAATATATAAATAAAAATTCAAACAATAAATAATAGTTACTAAAATATGAGATACAAAATACAAAAATACAAGAATATTCACCAATGTTACGGGATAGCAGAACCACTCAGAGCCAGGGACTGTTGTTGAATCAGCCACTTGCGGCATCTTTGCCGGAAGGTATATTGAGATAGGGTAGACCGGACTGGTGGTGGCAAATCGTTCCAGAATTTAGCAGCGGCGAATTTAAAACACCCCCTGGCTCCAGCGAGTCTAATTCTGGGTACTGGAAGCCGATGACATTTTTCTGTGACCGAGAGCAAACTTTTTTGTTCAACAGCTATCTTATCGTACAAATATCTTAGAGACGCTGCGTTGTGTGATACAGTTTATGCAGAAAGCAAGAATATTTTAACTTGGTACAATTGGACATATTTACAATGCCATTACTGACTAAATAAGGTGAAATCCTATGCCTTTTCAGTATATTAAAACAAAAACGCATGCATGCGTTCTGCACTCTCTGTACATTCTTCGCAGTTTTTTTAAATAAGCAAGGACCATAAACAATATCACAATAATGAAGGTGACATAGTACTAAACTGTTACAAAGCAGCAGTCTAATGTCACGTTTTAGAAATTTGCGAATTTTATACAATTTTTTTAAAGAACCATAGTATTTGCCGATTTTTGTCTGAACATGTTGCTCAAATTTTAAATTCTCATCCATGAGGAGACCTAAATTGCGAACACAACCCCCGTAATGTATGACGGTGTCAAAGATTTTAATATCAGGCTTCCGTGAATTAATCATTTTTACCTGGTGCTTTGTTCCAAGTGTAATGGTAACACTCTTTGAGGGGTTGAATACCAGACCATGACTCAAAGACCACTCCGAAATAGAATCTAGATCTTTGTTTAGCTTGAAAATAACAACAGCAACCTCCTCATCGATTGGCATTGTATGAACATATACTTGGCTATCATCTGCATATAAATGAATTTTCGAGTGGGTTATTGCTTTTGTAACGTTGGCCGTGTATATTGCGAATAATGTGGGACCAAGTATCGAACCCTGGATAACACCTTTATTAAGTGGGAGCGTGTTGGAGACCCTTAGCAGTCCTCGACTATCCAAACATTGCAGTTTTTGGCAACGATTACGGAAGTAAGATTGAAACCAGGCGCAGGCCAAATCTGTGAAATCATAGTATTTTAATTTTGCCTATAGGACAGATATATCAACGCAGTCGAAAGCGCGGCTGAAATCTAGCAAGACCATAACTGTCCCTTTACCCTCATTTGATGCAGTATCAGTCATCAGTAATATTTAATGGAGCTGATACTGTACTGTGATTTTTTCGGAAACCAGATTGAATCACAGGTAGTACTTGATTACGTTCTAGATATGGTGAAATTTGAGAATGAACGCATCTTTCAGCTATTTTAGATAGTCCAGGGAGAATGCTTATTGGTCTTATATCAGAAAGATTATCCACCGTTGATTTTTTAGGAATGGGAGTGACGATGGCACATTTCCAAGATTCTGGAAATACTCCTTCCAATATAGATTTATTAACTATCGCCACTATCGTTGATAAGGAATATGGAAGCGTAAGTTTTAACATTAACATGGAGATGCCATCAGTTCCGGTCGCATTAGTAGCTGTAGAAGCAATTATATTTTCCATTAAAATTTCATTTACGGCTACGAATCGAAATTTCATTTCAGAATGGTCAAGTGATAAAATTTCTTTAATTACACTTTTGGCGGGAGGTGCACTTGATATGCTGTTTATAAAGTGACTATTAAGTGAATTAGGATCAAGAAGATGATCCGTTATAGAACGGCTTTTAACGCCAGGTGAAAGTATTCGTTTTATATGACGCCACATCTGGGAAGGATTTGTCTTATTATCGTTGACAAGTCTAGTAAAATATGCTTGCTTTTCTAGAGTAACTGCTCGATTATAATAGTTGCGCTTATCGCGGTAAAATTGCATACTACCTTTCGATTTAACAGTTTTGGCACGGTGACAAGCCTTATCACGAGTTGACTTAATTTCTCTAAGAGAATCAGTCATCCATGCAGCAGGGGGTAATTTAAAAGTGCGTTTACGAACAGGGGCAAATATATCCATCAAGTCAATGATAAAATTGTTAAAGGTATTTACCATATCATCAATATTATCTTGTGCTAGTACCAGCTCCCAGGGCGTGTATTTAGCTGCATTGTTTATAGCAAAAGTGTTTTCAGCTAAAGGTCTGTATGAAACTACACGGCACTTAGATTTTAGAATCGCGAGCGGAAATTTTGCTGAAATCAGTCCATGATCGCTGAGATCGTCATTATGTGCAACTTCCACAGAAATGGGTTTAAATTTTGTACTTCTTTTACTTCAACTGTCATAAACTCAGAAAGTCGTGAGGTTCCGCCATTAGACCACTCTTTTAAATTAGGTAGAGTGATTAACGGGTACTAGTGATATTATAATACGGGTACTAGTAATATTAATAGCGATAATAGTATTATTTTTAATGACGTAAAGGTTATAAAATGCCCTAAGCATTTATGTTTGTTTAGAAAGAGCGTAGAGAATATGCGGCACACTAGCACGCTCTTGGACGGCATCTACCGATCATAGTGCTAGTATGGTAAGCTACTATTTTTCTCTTATTTAGCGATTATTATTATTATTTATTATTTCATATGGCTGGCCAGTAATAATTGTAACAATTTATGCAAAAACCACGATTTTAATACATCTGATACCAGCCAAGGAAATAATTTAAAAAATTTATGTAGTACGTGTAGTTTTTCTTTTCTTTCCTTTTCTTTTTAGCTGTTATTGTTTGATTAACTTATCAAATTTATGCGTATTGTACATTGTAATTAGACTCCATTAGATGCTCATAGATGCTCGGTTTTATATACCGTAATTTTATGTAATATATTATTTTATTTTATTTTTTTTATAGGAGAGGGGGCAAACGAGCATGCGGCTCACCTGATGGTAAGTGACTACCGCCGCCTATGAACAACCGCAACACCAGGGGAATTGCAGATGCGTTGCCGGCCTTTCAAATAGGAGTAGGCTCTTTTCTTGAAGGTCCCTAAGTCGTATCGGTCCGGAAAAATCGCTGATGGTAATCGATTCCACAAGGAATTCGTGCGAGGAAGAAAACATCTCCTAAATCGCACAGTGGTGGACCGCCAATCATCCAGATGGTGTGGATGGTATCGGGAGCTCTGCCGCGATGTGCGTTCGTGAAATTTGGCGGCTGGGATTAATCCAAACAATTCCTCAGAGCACTCCCCGTGGTAAATGCGAAAGAAAATGCAAAGAGATGCAACATCTCTTCGCAGCGCCAATGAGTCGAGCTGATCGGAAAGGACTCGGTCGTCGACGATTCGAGCCGCTCTGCGCTGGATGCGGTCAAGTGGAAGGAGCTGGCACTGGAGAGCCCCTGCCCAGAGATGGGAACAGTATTCCATGTGAGGCCGAACCTGCGCCTTGTAAAGTTGCAGGCGTTGTGCCGGCATGAAATACTGTCCCGCTCTGCTGAGCACGCCAAGCTTTTTAGAGGCCAATTTGGCCTTCTCTTCCAAGTGACCACGAAACTGCACGTCACTCGATATGTCGACGCCGAGGATTCCGATACTGGCTGAGGCAACAAGGGGAGTACC